GCAACGATCATGCTTGGGGCAACAATTTTCTTAACAGTCTTGATGTTTTGCATCAAATGCACGTCCGAAACATTATCGGCCAGTCCAATATTTATGTTGTACACCCCAGGCAAGCGGTCAGTTGCGGTTATCAACAAACTGCAACTTGCGCCCGCGCAGAAAGAGTATTCTCAAGATTTATTACGGGTCTCCGTTCTTTACGTACCTTCATTCCCATCAAGGACTGCGTCGGCCGCAAGAAAGAAACTTTTCAAGACATGGATGATATCTGCGCAGATATCCGTGCAGTTATCAACATATAGAAATGATAACTCGATATCGGGCGAAGTACATTATAAAAGGTTTATTTATTAAGGAGACATAAGGAATAAAAATTGGACTTCAAATCTTGATAATAGCAAAAAAAAAATGTTTATCAAAAAACGTAATGTGAATTTATCAATTACTAAAAAAATGTAATTTTTTTCTATTGGGTCGTCTGGAAAATTCGTGCCGATTTTGAAGGAAAATTGAAACGCAGAAGATTTAAATTTTAGTACATTTATTAAATTTAAATCTTTTGCGGCACGAACTTTCCGGACAACCCAATATAATTGTTTCTTCTTTCTTGCATTAACCTTCTTGCTTCCTAGCCACAATCATTTAGATACTTAGGCCGTGTTCCGATATGCATTACCAGTACTGAAAATCTATAGTTCACGTAACGTATACTGTAGATTTTCAGTACTACCAGTGTATATTGCAACACGCCTCAGTAATTTTTGTAATAAGAAGATAGAGAGAGATAAGAGAAAAATAGAATAATTTATATTATTTACGTAGTTTTCAGTAGAGAAAGCTTAGAATTTTTATAAATTCTCTATATAAATTTTCCATATAAATACTCATCAATAAAAAATATGAATCATTATATCGATATATTGCCCATACTTTTGCGAGTGAATATTGTTTTAAAAATGATAAGAATTGAGTAACACTTAATCAGGTATACTTATATAAGATTGCATTCGCATAGATTTATAAAAAGTTTCTTGCGAAAATAACCGTTTGATATTGTCAATTACAGATATTAACGTTTTCTTTGATATGTGGAAATCGTGAGACTAGAGAAGGCGCAGTTGGTGACCTTTCGGACACGACGCTACTCGATATAAGAATGATTTATTCCAGATGCAATCAGGAAGATGAATCCAAGCAACATAGAGAGTACTCGTAAGCCAGCCGTAAAAATATTGCTTGCCTCGTAAATTACATCCAACAGCATAGCCTTGCGTACATGCTCGTTTCGCCCGATCCTTTCGCCGTGAGAGATGTCCGCAATCACATATTTTTTAACACCGCATTCTCACTTGAACGAAATCACGTTCGAGATTTTTATATTTTTACGAAGTTTATAATACTACTTTCTACAAAGTAAGAGATTAGAAAAAGATTCACAAAATTGCATCGATTATTAAGCCAAACCTGCTGTGTAATGATGGTAGTAAAAAAACAATTTAACAAAAAATAACTTATTGATGATATCACAATAGCACGAAAACATACTAATGTAAAGTTAACATTATATATGATATATAGAAGGTAACTTTAATATGATAGATATTAAGGGTAACAGAATATTAACGGATCAAACGTGCTCAGAAATAGGATTCGCAGCTGCGTGTTCGCTGACTTACTTAATCGCCATAACTTCCGGTTGCCTTAGAATTACGTGACGTCACCTACATTCGTTACGGATTGAAATGATGCCAAATATAAAGCTCGGAAAACTGGAAGTGCAATTTACTTTTCATTTTTATTGCTCATCGATGTTGTTGGGTATTAAAATCAGGTCTGTGCTTCAAATAGGTATAAAAATGTAGATCAACTACAGCGGTTCCAACAAAAGTAAATTATTATACTTAAATCAGAGCGCAATGTGAGAATAACGTGTATGAAATAAAATTTATTTACATATCTTAAAATGATATTTTTATCTCTTTCTTTTTCAAATTCATTTCTCAGTGTCCTCGATTCATGGAGCAAATAAACTAATAAAAAATCTTATACTCTCCAACATTACTTTTACAAATAAACGATTTCTGTATATATTGACTTTCTATATGCATATCGTCTGTTTACTTGCTGCTTTTTTACTGTAATATCTCCAATGATATATCATTTTTAATATTCTTTCTTTATTT